CTGTAAAATATTGTAGATTTACTTTAATTTTTCAATAAAGACAAGCCATCGTGACATGATTGCAGGTTAAAAAAAAAAAATAAAATAAAAAATAAAAAACTAGTATCAACTTGAGAAGTTGTAAAACATCTATTCAAGACTTATATATACTATAGATTCATTTTATAACAAAGAAATTATTAATTTTCACATTTCTACAAAAAACTATAAATAGTAAGCTTTATCATAAAATATTGATCTAAAACTTGTATAAACAAGTTAATGTACAAATATTCATATATTCTTGATTAATTATTTCATCCCTAAATTTTAATCTAATTGAAAACCTATGGATAATATATTTTTAAAGTATTTAACATATAAAATTTTATAAATTACTTATATCCTTTTTTAAAAAACAAAATTTATAACTCATTTATTTTAGTAAAAACAAAATTTAAAAAATATTAATTAAATAATGAAAAATTATTATAAATAGTTTTTTATAATTATTTAAAAGACATTCGTAATTTACAAGAATAAAGCTATTTCGCAAAATGATTTTATAAAGGTTATAAGGATGATTGATGTAAAATTAGTAATAAAGAAAAAAAATATATACAGTATATATATTTTAAATAAAGTTTCTGATTTATTTGATTGTCATTTGCGCTTAATAATTTGTCTCTTTCTATCCAAATTCATGTATAGTTCCAGTAGCGACAGGCTTTATAAGGACCCTCCACCAGCCTATCATGAAATTCAACCGGACGTTTTCTCTGACTACTCTCATCGAAATGCAAATACCAGGCACCTTCGCACAAATCAGAACATAAATAGGCATCCTCGCACAGATCAGAACATAAATGACGAGAGAGTTTGTCGGGAATGTTGCTTACCATTTACTGTAGTTGCCTTGGTGATCTTCTTTATATATTTTAGTTTTACTGGAACTGCACTAGTTCCTGATCCTGACGACGTAACAAAAATTCCGCGAATGTTTCAACTACGGTGGCGAAGCATTTTTGGCGGTGATTATACGATGGTCATAGAATCTTATGATACAAATGACTTCAGTTTAAGTGGACACAATGTTACTTTAGACGACACGATATCTAGTGCAGAATCACCTATAGATACAACTGGTGATTACATTAAGTATCCCATAAGAGCTCTTATTTTAGATGCACATTATGATATGGGAAAATATAGGTATTTCATTATATAAGAGTATGGTGTTTTTTCATTAGTTAATGTGACTAAAATAATTTTTTATTTATAAGCGTGGTAGAATACTTTTACAAACCGGATCGCGAAGATTACTATAAAAGGATAATAACCGCGAATGCAAGGTTTGAAGGAAGTTGGCCAGCGGAATTTTTAATTACTTTCACAACGAAAGGAACTTATCGTAGTCCTATGGATAAAACAGTTTGTGATTACAAGCTATCGTATTCCAAAGATCTGGCAGGAACTATATTGCGTAAATGTTCGAAAGCTTTTGAAACAGAATTTTCAGAGCAGGCATATGTTTCAGGAAGTGTCAACGAAGGATTACATTTCACCAAAAGTAAACAAAGTGATGAATGGTACGCTTTTACTACTAAACCATCATGGATTTTTGATTGTTATAGAAGGTGAGAAGGAACCTAAGAAACTGATATTTTTTTTTTCTTTGCTAAGCTTATATTTAATTTATTATTTGATTTAGGGATATATTGGTTTTTGAAGATGCTCCTTTTCCACCTATTATTCCTGCATTATATTCAGTTTATTATGATTTTTTGTCCCGAAAACTTTAGTCTTAAAGACGTTCGTTAAATATCGAAAATTATCATCATATTTTATTTATAAGTACACATTTTCATATCGTTATATTGAAAGTTGAAATTTTATCCATTATATCAACGAAAGACAGAGTCTTAATATTTGGACAAGATAATCAATATGAAATTGAAGAGGTCTCATAATTTTTTTTGCAAATAAAAAAATTAAATATCTATATTTTTGCATCTCAATTATAAGAAAAAGGTGAATACAATTTACGGTATATATAGAGAAGTCTCAAGAGTTTTATACTAGTATAGAAAGTTATGTAATATCTCTTTTTTATTAACTTAATAACTATGAAACCTTTGGAATTGCTATTATTATTTATCTTATACAAAGTTAAGTAAAGTATTGAAATTTTCAAAATATTCTTAGCAACTTTCTTGAAAATGAGTTTGTGACCATTACAAAAACAAGTTAAAAATAATATTTTAAAATCAAAGATAAAAAAATATCTTTAATATATAAGGAGATATTTTATTTATTAAAACAAATTTAAACAATAATAATAACTATAATAAAGATATTTCTTTCTTAAAAAATACAAGATTATGTATTTTGACCAACTGATAAATACTATTATCAAAACTTTTAAATATTAGAAAGTAATTTAGATTAATTCTCAAATAGTATAACAAATTATTATACAATTTATATAAAATTAGAATCTATTAAAAAGTTTTTTTAAAAACTTGAAATAGATCAATTATAAATTGCAAATTAAAAAATAGTTCTAGCAATAAATAAATAGAAAATTGATAAAATATTTTATTTAATATTTAAGTAATATTAAGGAAAAAAAAACTATTTTAATTTTCTATTAGCTTATATTATTTATTATTCTATTAATAATTATATTAATTTACAATTTAAATTTTATAAATAATTATTATACTTATAAAATTTATTTATTATTATAACTATATAAATATAAAACTATATTTTTCTACTAATCCTTTGATTATATAAAAAAAAGATATTTATAAAAAGTTTTTTTATTTCTTTGTTAATAAAGTCTTAATATCTTCTTTAAAATAACTTGAAGGTTAACTTCAAGAATTGTTTTTATTTTTCCTCTATTATTTATAAACCTTTTTTACCCAAAAACTTGACTTTCAATAACAAAATAAAATCAAGTAATATTTTTGATATCAATAACAAGAAAGTTTTCAAAAAAAGAAATACTAATTATAAAAGTATTTAAAGGTTTTTCTAATCTTTGAACAAGAGATTTATAGAGATTTTGTATAATAAAAAGATTTATTTTCTTCTTTTTTGATTGTTTTTTTTTTTTTTAAAAAACCCATGGTCAGGACAATATTGTGTGTTTATTAATCAATATGAAAACTGATAGAGATACATATGGCAATTGTATCATGGCTAAACTAAAAACTTGTACTGATACACTTGTCAATGGCTTTCAATTCTCAAATAAGCTTCAGCCTCTAAG